CTTGCATGTGTGAAGCATTAAGCGTCACCTACGCCTTCATTTTTCCCCAGAGAAGCAAAATAAAGCATAGAAAACCCAGACCTGCTTAATGAAACACTTGGTGCAGATTGCAAAACGTAGCCCTTTTCAATGGGAATCTTAAGATAGGATTTGGCAGAAAGCTGAGTTCTCGGCACAACCGGCCGTGTTAAATACTCACATTGTCTCTCTCTAATTGCTGCTCCTTATGTAGCTAGCATGAAACCAACACAAAAACAAAACTGGATGATCGGCATGTTCAGAAAATTCACAAAAGAAAAAAAAAATAATGCCCGTGTACATGGGCCCCAGAATGGTAATCCAAGGCAGAGGAAAGAATGAAAAGCATTTGACACAGGGAGTCCTTAACTTACAACAGTTCATTTAGTGACCATTCGAAGGTACAACGGCACTGAAAAAAGGGACCCAGGACCGTTTTTCACACTTACGACCATTGCAACATCCCCAGGGTCACGTGATCAAAATTCAAAGGCTTGGAAACTGGCGTGTACTTATGACGGTTGCAGCGTCCCGGGGTCATGTGATCCCCTTTTGTGACCTTCTGACAAGCAAATTCAACGGGGAAGCCACATTCACTTAACGACCGGGTTACTAATTTAGCAACTGCGGGGATCCACTTAACAACTGTGGCGAGAAAGGTCGTAAAGTGGGGCAAATTGTCTCGCTTAGCAACAGAAATGTTTGGGCTCAGGTGTCGTTGAAAGTCAAGGGCGGTCTGTAAAAGAAATATTAAACGGAAGTATTTCACACTGTATCTATACTACACTACAATAATAAGTCCTTGACATACAGCCGTTCGTTTAATGATTGCTGAAGTTCCAATGAAAAAAGTGACTTATAACCGGTCCTCGCACTTACAACCATTGCAGCAAACCCCAAGATTACATGATGAAAATTCTGGCATTTGGTAACCAGCATGCATTTACGATGGTTGCGGTGTTCCAGGGTTGTGTGATCACTGTCTGTGACCTTCCCAGTTGCTTCTGATAAGCAAAGTCAACGGGGGAAGTCAGATTGACTGAATGACAGTGTGATTTGCTTAACAAGTGCAGTGATTCGCTTAACAATTGTGGCTAAAAGGGTTGTGATTCATTTAACATCCACTTTGCTTAGCCATGGAAATTCTGATTCCAGCCGTCAATAGAGGACTATCCTTATTTTCTTGCAGTTTCTACACTCGACTTGATGAAATAGACTTTGTGTCATTTGTTGTTGTTACTTGCGAAGTCGTGTCCGACCCATCGCGACCCCATGGACAATGTTCCTCCAGGTCTTCCTGTCCTCTACCATCTTCTGGAGTCCATTTAAGTTCACGCTTCCTGCTTCAGTGACTCCATCCAGCCACCTCCTTCTCTGTCGTCCCCTTCTTCTCTTGCCCTCCATCTTTCCCAGCATTAGGCCCTTCTCCAGGGAGTCCTTCCTTCTCTTTAGATGGCCAAAGGACTTGAGTTTCAACTTCAGGATCTGGCCTTCTAAAGAGCAGTCGGGGTTGATCTCCTCTAGGACTGACTGGTTTGATCGCCTTGCAGTCCAGGGGACTCGCAGGAGTCTTCTCCAGCATCATAGTTCAAAGGCCTCAATTCTTTGTCACTCAGCCTTTCTTATGGTCCAACTTTCACAGCCATACATTGCCACTGGGAAAACCATGGCCTTGACTATACGCACTTTTGTTGGCAGGGTGATGTCTCTGCTTTTTAGTATGCTGTCTAGATTTGCCATAGTTTTCCTCCCCAGGAGCAAGCGTCTTTTAATTTCTTGGCTGCAGTCCCCATCTGCATTAACTTAAATAATAATAATAAAAATAGTGTACTGATTGAATTTCCCTCATTTTATCCCCAAGTCAACCGGGCTATGTTATATCCGCCGTACCACCATGGCTACTATTTCAGAGTTACTGACAACCTTTCCAGAACAGAAGCTTCGTGATTCCTGAGAAGTCCCACCGGTATTAATGGCCCCAAAGCTTATCGTGACGAACAGTAATAGGATGAATGTTAAACAAATTAATTAATGATTATCCACTTTGCTTTAGAATGTTTCCCACCGAATGAGAGCCCTTCATAATAAATGGACATTCGTTCATGCAAAGTGACTAATGAAATTTCTACCGCATTAATTATTGCAACTGCAGAAAGAAGGGCGGGAGGGGGGAGTAAATCCAGCCGAATGAATTTGCCATGATCGGTCTCATTAACACAGACACCAAAAATCGTAAAAGATCTCCTAGTTATCTCAAACCGTGGGAATGCATCTCAAGTGAGGTTTAATTTGATCGTTTGACTTAAGGTGATATCCTGTTAAACAATGCATTATAATAATTAGGCTTTAGGAAGCCTCCATTATTACATTCATGTGCAATCCAGAATTATCGGCGCTTGATCAGATCTTTCCGGACGTTCAACGCAAGGAGTCATCTTAGACTCTATTGATGTGCTTTGCACATTTAGTTATGGGGATGCTCCAGGAGGGTGTATGTTTCACAACTCACCACAACCAACTCACCGTGGCCAATGCGCCGTGGCCAACTTGCTGCAGCCAACTTGCCACAACCAACTCACAAAAGGACAACTTGCCATGGAACACAAATTTCACTAATATCAAAGAAGTCGTGGAATAGAATCGTTACAAAAAGGATGCCAAAAGGAAAGACAAAACAAAGGTGACTGACAAAAATTAAAATGTTTTCTTAAATTATTTTAAATAATTAAATTGAATTGTTGAATTGTCCCGCAGGGAGCCGAAGGGATTTTATTGTGCTTATGATTTTAGTATGTTTAAGTTTGACATTAGCATTTATTTTATATATAGTAACCATTTTATGTTGATACTTATAGTGTTATCATGCAATCGTTGTTTTGTTCTTTTGTAATCATTATTTTGTAGTTAATTGCTTGATCAGATGCTATATATATATATATATATATATATATATATATATATATATATATATATATATATATATATATATATATATATATATATATATATATATATATATATATATATATTGGAAAAGTAAGGGCTTCATGCTTTAGGTATAGGTGATTGCTTATATGAGAAGAGCACAGTATGGGGAGGGGGAAAAAGAGTTACGGATGGAGCCTGGGTTGCTGTATATGAGTCATCATCTTGGAATTGTTTTTTTGTACCATCTTATGCCTGGTACCAAGACCTGATCTTTTTGTTCTGGAAAGGTATAAAAGATGGAAGACATCTTTCCTGGTTGTTGCCTTCATTCCTCTACCAGCCACGAAGAGGAATCAGGCGGCCCCTCTCTGTTTTGATCAAAATAAAGTTGTAATCTTGGTTGAAACCTCGGCTCAGGAGTTTCTTTGGCTTTTTTAAATTCCTGAGTAATGCTGGGACAATTGTGAGGCTAAGTGGAAAACCTTACAGAGCTGTCCCATGGTCAGTTGGCCACGGTGAATTGCAGCAAGTTGTCCCATTCCAGGAGGGACATGCGTGAACTTTTAAACTACATGTGCACCAACTGATAACTAATCCAAAGAAATCGTATTGATTCATTGGAGAGGGAGGGGGGGGAGAATTAAAAGTTTTGTGGCATTTTGGGTTTGACAGATGTAGGGCGTTAGCAATGCTATTGCCTCCCTTTCCCAAGGGGGTTGGACTAGGGGTAGTCCTTGATTTATGATCACAATTGAGCTCAAAATTTATGTTGCTGAGCAAGAGAGTTTTTAAACAGGTTTTGCCCCATTCTACGACCTTTCCTGCCACAGTTGTTAAGTGAATCATTGCAGTTGATAAGTTAGGAACCTGGTTGTTAAGTGAATCTGGCTTCCCCATTGACTTTGCTTGTGCAGAAGGTCACAAAAGAGGATCACATGACCCCAGGACACTGCAACCGTCGTAAATATGAGCCAGTTGCCAAATGGCTGAATTTTGATCACATGGGGATGCTGCAATGGTCGTAAGTGTGAACAACAGTCATAAGTCACTTTTTTCAGTGCTGTTGTAACTTTGGACAGTCACTAAATGAACTGCTGTAAGTCGACGGCTACCTGTATAGTGACATTTCAATCCTTGCCCCACCTTCACCCAATCCCAGGGTGCCAGTTGGGGAAGTGTGGGCTGAGCAGAGAGATCCATGATGACTTTTTGAGGAAGAAAAAGCATACAGTTGGAGCCCTAAAGCAGGACAGATAAATGGGGAAGAACCTCAAACAGATGACTTCCATTTAAGAGATCAGAATAGACCATACTTCAGATGTTGTCTCCTCTCATACTCACTAAACCAGAAATTCCATATAGTCTCTTTGTAATCTTCGCCAAAGAACCAGCATCGCCAAAAGAAACCTTCATGATGGAAGGTCAGGATCCCTTTATCACCTTCTTTCCAGACGTGCTTTCCATCCTGTTTTCAAAACAAACCAGAACCGTTTAGAAATAGGGTGCAAACTCTTTGGGTTTCATCTTCAGCTTTCCACTTGGTGCCCAAGCTACCTGCAATTTCAGAATGGCGTATTCACAGGCTAAGGCTGACAAAATGGAATTTGCAGCCAGAGGTAAAACACAGCTATATAAGGAATGGCGAGAGGTAGCTGCTTGATGTCCTCCAGGATTGGGCTAATGGGAATTGAAATAGCAGTAGCAATAGCACTTAGACTTATATACCACTTCACAGTGCCCCACAGCCTTCTCTAAGTGGTTTATAGAGTCATTCTATTGCTCCCAACAATCTGGGTCCTCATTTTACCCACCTCAGAAGGATGGAAGGCTGAGTCAAGCTTGAGCAGGTTAGAATCGAACTGCTGGCAGCTGGCAGTCAGCAGAAGTAGCCTGCAGTACTGCATTCTAACTGCTGCACCACCATGGCAAATTTACAAAGCATGAGCTTGCAATTACCTTCTATACAGAGAAATCCGTGATTTTCCTTATCTATTTAGGGATCAGATCAACGATCTGAATCAAAATCATCATTCAGTTCAAATCAGAGCCCATCCAAGCATTCCTATGTCTAAGACAAATCTGCATTCAAAGAGAAAGAATGTGTTTTCCAAGGTTTTATGTAGAAGAAGAGCATGCAGAGTCTGGGGATGGAGTGAAGAGAGTAATCAGCCTAGAGTCATTACATCCCCACACACAGTCTAAGTCCAGCCTCTCTTGAATTCTGTTGATTCTTATCTAGTGCCAGTTTAGTAATGACCATTAGTTGACTAGATTCTTGTGAATAGGTCCACATTTCTAGATGAACTTTACAATAGATCTGAACTGCTCACTCACAGTCAGTTTTTAAGATTAGATAAAGAGTGGCCTATGGACATATAAGGAAAGGTTGATGGAATTGGGTATGTCTAGTTTAATGAAGAGAAGGACGAGGGGGGACATGATAGCAGTCTTCCAATATCTCAGGGGCTGCCCCAAAGAAGAGGGAGTCAAGCTATTTTCCAAAGCGCCTGAAGGCAGGACAAGAAGCAGCGGATGGAAACTAACCAAGGAGAGAAGCAACCTAGAACTAAGGAGAAACTTCCTGACAGTGAGAACAATTAACCAGTGGAACTACCTGCCTCCAGAAGCAGTGAATGCTCCAACACTGGAAGTTTTTAAGAAGAAACTGGACAGCCATTTGTCCAAAATGGTATAGGGTTACCTGCCTGAGCAGGGGTTGGACTTGATGACCTCCAAGGTCCCTTCCAACTTTATTATTATTATTATTATTATTATTATTATTATTATTATTATTATTATTATTATTATTATTATTATTATTATTATTATTATTATTATTATTATTATTATTATTATTATTATTATTCCCCCATCCACATCTGCCCTGCTTTAGTACTATAACAAAGAACCAGAATCCACCCAGAAGCAAACTCAGCTGGGTGCCAGTTGCATTGTCTCCACCTCTCTTATGTCTCTTTAAATGATTGTCACCACTTCTGAATTTGCATCTCAGCTTGTAAAATTGTAAACATACATTTTCTGTCAAGCTTCATTGTCTTTTGGGGGAAAGGTTGGATTCATTAGCCTGGGAGGCTAATGAAATAGTTCCCTCTTCCCAACGTATCAGGCAGAAATATTTTATACCTAAAATGTTCTTCCTTTCCCCCTTTTCCTGGGAAAACAATTAAGAAGTCAAAGAAGAAGGGAAGGGTAGGGAAGGGAAGGGCAGACGGCTACCTATTTGTTTTCTGCGGGAATGTTCCTAATTTTTAAATAGAACAATGGACGAATTAATCCATCGACCCTCGCGGGATCAATCAATTAAATCTACAATATTTCATATGTAAGATTGACCGATTACACACTCTGTGATCCAGCTGCTTAAGAAAGCATTCTATCTCAAGGGTATATAGAGTATACTGTTTATTTACAGGATACAGAATAACAGAGTTGGAAGGGACCTTGAAGGTCTTCTAGTCCAGCCCCTTGTTCGAGCAGGAAATCCTAGACCATTTCAGACAGATGGCTGTCCAGTCTCTTCTTAAAAACCTCCAGTGTTGAAGCATTCACAACTTCTGGAGGCAAATTGTTCCACTGGTTAATTGTTCTAACTGTCAGGAAGTTTCTCCTTAGTTCTAGGTTGCTTCTCTCCTGGATGAGTTTCCATCCGTTGCTTCTTGTCCTGCCTTCAGGCGCCTTGGAGAATAGCTTGACTCCCTCTTCTTTGGGGCAGCCCCTGAGATACTGGAAGACTGCTATCATGTCCCCCCTCGTCCTTCTCTTCATTAAACTAGACATACCCAATTCCTGCAACCGTTCCTTATACGTTTTAGCCTCCAGTCCCCTAATCATCCGAGAATTAAATCCCCAACTTCTGAGTTTTCCTTTTGTTCCCAGAAGTATCCTTCAGAACATGCTCCTTTGCAAACTCCCAATAATGATATTCTGGAGTCACGCAGTTTTCAGTACTTTTACCTTTTCAGAGGAGATATTGCTGTTCTTCGCTTCGAATCCTCCACACTTTTCCGTCACCAGCAGCCAGTAGTCTGTCCCGAAGGCTACTAGAAAAAGGAAGATGCTGAGGATGCCCAGAATTGCGGCTAAAAAGGCTGCTATTTTGATCTTCATGGTGGAAAAAGGAAGGGGAAAGAGGAGCTTGAGCCAAGGAGTCTAGAAGGGCGAGGCTTTAAAGAAAATAAATAAAGCAAACATGCAGGAGTTGAGTGCGCTAGGAGCTGAAAGGAAAGGAGACCTATTTTAAGAATGGGACTGGCAGCGATTCACCAGTGTATGCATTTCACAAGGCAGCAAGGAGACAGCAATCAAAAGCAAATGGGTTGAGTTTCCAAACAGCTGAGGCATTTCAAGCAGGATTAGGAATGAGGGCTGGACCGAGATGCTTCACTCCGGAGAAGTCATGTTTGGGTTTTTTTCTGCTTCGTGCATCCAGCCAGATGATCTATTTCAGGTTACAACACAACTGATCTGGATGGACAGGCGCCACTGCTACTTGCTGTCCAGCAGTCCAGATGGGAGGGGCAGGAACGCAAAGGCCCTTTTGCCAAATGCAGAGAGGTTGGCAAGCTGGCACTTGGGATAGGTGAATCTATTGATTTGGGGTTCTCCTGTTTCTGCAAATGTGTCTAGCTTAGTTTGTCGACCGGATGCTTTTAAAAAATAAAAATAAAAACGCACCGACATTTGTCTACATTTTAGCACCCACTTTTACAGATGTGCTTGCAATTCTGCTTGACACAAACACACACACACACACACACACACACACACACACATATAATAGTCAAGGCCATGGTTTTCCCAGTGGCAATGTATGGCTGTGAAAGTTGGACCACAAGAAAGGCTGAGCGCCAAAGAATTGAGGCCTTTGAACTATGGTGCTGGAGAAGACTCCTGCGAGTCCCCTGGACTGCAAGGTGATCAAACCGGTCAGTCCTAGAGGAGATCAATCCTGACTGCTCTTTAGAAGGTCAGATCCTGAAGTTGAAACTCAAGTACTTTGGCCACCTAATGAGAAGGAAGGACTCACTGGAGAAGAGCCTGATGCTGGGAAAGATGGAGGGCAATAGAAGAAGGGGACGACAGAGAATGGGGTGGCTGGATGGAGTCACTGAAGCAGGAGGCGTGAGCTTAAATGGACTCCAGAAGATGGTAGAGGACAGGAAGGCCTGGAGGAACGTTGTCCAGGGGGTCGCGGTGGGTCGGACACAACTTCGCAATATATATATATATATATAAATATAAAAATATTCCCACTATAATTTCTTTTTGTCCATATCTATGGAGATTCTCAATCATCCAGGTCATGTTTGTCCCAGGAGGGCCTTTCAAAAGGCAGCTGGGACTTTCTTCTTGGTTTTTAGCTTCAAAAAGTTTTGCTTCTCATCCAAGAAGCTCCTGCACTGTCTAGCGAACTTGTTTGGCCTTACAAATCACATTCCACTTCCCCTTTTGTGAATGGATTAATCTCTTTCACCAAGCTTTTAATAATGAGATCAGTGGTGGGATTCAAATAGGTGAACAACAGGTTCTCTGTGTGGATGCCGCTTCCGGAAGTCCATTCTGGGCCTGGACAACCCAAAATGAGCTACCGGTTCTGCCGAAGTGGTGCGAACTGGTTGAATCCCACCACTGGATGAGATGGTACAAAGCAGCTCTACAAACCACAAGGCTTCACTCCCATTGCAAGGTTAACTCTTTGGCATGCTTTGCACAGCCGACACATTTCCACAGCGTGCCTGGCTGAGGAATTCTGGGAGTTGAAGTCCACAAGTCATAAAAGGGCCAAGTTTGAAGACCCCTGTTCTCATGCATCATAACATTTACTTGGGCTGGCTTTCCTTGAAGGAGAAGGATGACAAAAGACATAATGTGCTTCAACAAGAGACCCGTTTATTTGCAAAGAGACACAATGAACATAGGAGGAGGAATCTCCTAAGATGAACAACACTTTGCAGGATCCTACAGAATCATCTCACGGAGCAGATCTAAGCCTGAGATTCCCCAGTTCTGGCCTGACATATCAATTAGTCAAGGATTAACCTCCAGCATCAGGAAAGCTGAAGTCTAACCCACTGTATTATGTCAAGAAAGATAAGTCCTTTGAACAGCACAGGGCTCATGGGAGATGTTCATTGTATAGTGTGTTTCAAGAAGAGCACAGCAGTCTGGGTAATTCTGGGAGCTGAAGTCGACAAATCTTTAAGTTGCCAAGGTTGAGAAACACTGCTCTAAAGCATGCGCCTTGTTCACAATCATTTAAGCAAGGCATAATTATTGATCTAATATATGCAGATTCTTGGATAACCATACACTGGAAATGTACTCTGCTTCCAATCCCCCCAGGATCAGCCATTTCTCCTCCTCAACAATTGGATTTCAGTTGACTGCAAAGCTTTTTTCACACACCTTGAACCTTCTTCATGGAAAACAAGGCTTCTTCAACTACTTTGAACATGAAGGGAAGGGGAGGGGAGGGGAGGAGAGGGGAGGGGAAGAGAAAGAGAAAGAGAAAGAGAAAGAGAAAGAGAAAGAGAAAGAGAAAGAGAAAGAGAAAGAGAAAGAGAAAGAGAAAGAGAAAGAGAAAG